AAGAAGAAGAAGAAAAGAAAGGAAGGAAAAAAAGAAAGGAAGAAATCAGCCACAGAAGACTACGACGCATGATTCCAGTTAGAGGCACATTGCGACGCATTGCGGCCCGTGACCCCACGTCCTACTCGGTGTCCCGGTTTTCCCAGCCATCCTGGGGCGTCAGCACGGTCGAAGCCGGGAACTTTCACAACATACGGGTACGGGGAAAGGGCGGGGAAGAGCTCGAGCTCCAACAGTTGGTGCGGGTAACAGGAGTTGGGGTGGGGAGTGCGGTCGGAGGCGGCCGGGCTGCCGCCGGGCGGGAGTGCACAGGCCCCGTTTAGTCTCACGGCTACAGAAAACACCTTCCCGAGCCCAGGTGGGCGAAAGCAGACCGGGGCTGGGCGGAGCAAGGCTCCTCCGTCGGATCGCTGCACTTCTGCAGGAGTATTCTCCTTAACCAAGCAGCGTTATTTTTATTTCGGGTTACACTAACGAGACACTTCCTGGCTTCGCCGTGTGCATGTGGAGGTCAAATGTGGCTCACGTGGCTTCACGCAGAGACAAAGGGAACCGCTCGGCGTCACCCGCGCAGTCTCACCGCCGCAGCACCGCGGTCCCCGCTTCCCTCCCCCGCACGCCCGCCGGCCTCCCCTCTCCTCCCGGCCTCCCCTCGAGCCGCCCCGGGGCTGCGGGGGCCGGCCCGGGCGCTCACCGCTTCCATCAGGCCCTTGACGGTGGGGGACTTGAGCATCAGCGCGTCGAACACGTCGTCCGTCTCCTTCCGCACGTACAGCAGCACTGGAAGACAGGGCGGCGCTGACGTCGCGGCGGGCGGGCGGCCGTCCTGGGAGCTGCGCGCTCGCCCGTCCCGAACAGCCGCAGTCCCCGCACAGTCCGCGAACAGCCCCGGTCCCCGCACAGCCCCGTCCCGCGTGCTCGCGGCCGTCCGCGCAGAGGTGAGGCTGAGGTACGTTATGTTTTTGTCACATTCATTTCTGTTCTTGCTTTTCATTTATGTGAGGCTGAAGCCTCACAACAAACTCCGCTGCAATGAAAAGCGCTGAGAACCAGGCCTCTGTGGTGTTTCTGGGCGAGCTGTCTGTCTGCCCAGTTCAGAACGCCTGGGGACTGGCAAACAGCACCAGTGCAGAGGCAGCGCCAAGGCGCACTGCAGACCGTCCTGGCCTTATTTATTTAATTTTGGTACTGGGAATCAAACTCAGGACCTTGCGCTTGCCCGGCAGGCACTGTGCCGCTGAGCTATATCCCTGGTCTGGCCTTACTTTTAAGAGGTCTAACGAACACAAATATATATGTCACACAGTTCATCATAGTAGCTTTTTAAAAGTGTATAACCCACTAGCGTTTCAGTACATTCACCAGAGCATTTGACCGGCATTACTCTGTAATTCTGTAACATGTTCCGCACCCCTGAGGGTAGCTCCTTAGGAGTCCTCCACCTCCTGCTCCCGGCCCGGGGCAGCCACTAACTTGCTTCCTCCTCAGGGAAGGCGCCACCCAGATGTTACTTAGAAACTGAATCATGCAATACTGGGCTTCTTGTGTCTACCTCAGC